CTGGGGACGAGGTTGACCTGCGTACGTATCACAAATGTATCGTAGAGGGCGCTAGACAACCATGTATGCGGATGTCGTTTGGGAAAAGAAAATTCGCATGCCGGCATCCGGGATGCGTCACGTGTCCGTATCGGCATTGACTAAAGGCGTCCGTCATCCATGCACAAAAGTTGAACAAAATAAACAATCGTGATGCGCGCGCGCAGAGGTGATCCGTTCCTTGCTCAATGACGGGAGCTAGTTATCGGTCCCCATATCTTCTTTTTTTTTGGTGGGGGGGAACAGTCTAGTAGAAAATATTATGATCAGATGTGAGAAATGTTCATATTTGACCTCTGATAACATTCCATTTACCCTTAAACCCGAACTTTAATTTCAAGACCCAAGTCTAAATATTAGGTGTTCATGCTATGAAAGAATTTTCATATGAAAGCCCGGGCATTTCATATCTGACTTCTAGTGACCTTCAAGAAGTCAATGAACTTTATATGCCCTATTAATAGATATTTCCTCACATCTGATCATTATTTTCATGGCCTGAAGACCTATTTGCCGTAGACTTGGATCATAGGAAAGTGGTGTTTTCAAGAGTAGTTTTAGAGAACATAAAGGTCAGGCCAAAAAAAATAAGTTATGCTTCCGGTTTTCCTACCTACCCTATTCTGACAGCCCCTACCCTAATTTTTTTATTGGAAAAATGAGGAAAAATTACCAAAAACCATCACTTTCTACCTTTTGCCTTTGACTACACGCAGACGCCTCCATATGATTGTACACACAAAAAATTGGCAAAAAAAATAATTTCCCTACCTACCTACCCTATTATCGAATGCCATGTAATCGGAAGCAGAACTATGTTTTTTTTGGCCTCATCGACCTCTCAAAGTCACCAGGGGTCAGATATTAAATGCCTCCACATCTGAAATTGGCTTCGTGGCATGAATCCCTAACAGCTTCATGCTTTTAGTCAGAAAAGTGCACCATTCTTTCAATTAACATCCTCACTATTTCTGTTTCTTTTTATAAGAAACTTTGTTAAGCTATCTCTCATTTCTCAGCAAATTGCTGACAGATTTTGATGCAACAAATGATGCTTTTTGTTAGTCTCTTTTGAATGGTACTTCATTGTTTTTTTTTGTTTTTTAAATTTATCTCAACAGGAACTTGGCATAATCTGGCTACCTCCCTCCCACAACCCAACTCGCATCAACCTCTTACCTCTCATATCAGCAAAAGCCTCTAGCAAGCAGTATCTGGCTTTATGGAGATGCTGGAAAGTAAAGTAAGTAAAGTTTGTCATGAGTGGAACTAATGTGGCCCATCAGGCCGCCCTTTATCCCCGGTTTTAGTAGTATGAAAAGACTAAGAATACTTCTATTCCCCCTGGACGGGATGCTAGTCCATCGCAAGTTACTTTCCAACTAATGCTGGCACCCATTTATACTCCTGGGTGGAGAGAGGCAAGTGGGGATGAAGTAGCTTGCCCAAGGACACAACACTGGGAAGAGTGGTCATCTACATCCAATGTCCCAATAGTGCGTCAATCCGCCACAGGATACATTTTGCTCCCTCTGTACAGGAACTTGATTAAAGTCTACAAAACAAATACATTCTTTGTACACATGCTATGAGATCTAACTAAATGCATCCCTTGCTTTCAAGTCACCAACCATTTTTTAATAAACTTCAATGTAACACCAAGGCTCAATACGTTAACTTAATGTACTCTTCTATTTAAAAAACCCATTATGGCTTGTACTATTAATTTTTAGGATAAAGTTGGGAACTCTCAAATACAACAGCCCATGAGTATAACTTTTTGACTTAGGAGCCATTTTGTCTATTGTAGAATTTTTTTTTTATATTTCAGATTGCTCAGACAAAATGAAGTGCCGGTCGCCACAAAAATTTTAAAAAATAAAAAAAATTACTAGTCAAAATCGCTTTTTGCTTTAAAATCCAGTAATCAAAATCAAATTGACATCTCATAATTATGTTAATAATGCTGGTTTCTGCTACAAAATGTTGATCGAAACTAATAAAGAAGATTCAAGATTTCAACCGCAAACTAACAAATTACACTCTCATAATATTATAACTTTAATACCAATACAGGTTATATACGCTAACGTGGTTAACATCCACCCAAACTACTATCTCATTTCTTTTTAATGCCCCAAATCTGACAATTAAAAAAAACATTCACAGTTTAAAACTTAACAGTTTACAACCTTAAAATGTGCAGCTGAGGATATACAAACGCAAGCAGCAAATGATAATAAAGCCTTTACACACATAACAAATGGTTTCAGGGGAGTAACTGAATTAGATAACTGTTTCTATAACAATCTACAAATTTTTTTTGGACCTACTTACCTTAACAAAACACAGTAAATATCACTATATGCATTGAATCATAGTATTGGTACAAATATACTTGCAAAAAATAAAATCAGGAAAAATCACAGTGGTGTTGATTTACATATGATGTAATCAAGCGAAAAAAGGCTAAAACATAACATTAAACAGATCTCTTCCACTAAAATGACAAAACAAAAACCAGGACAAGAATGTTCAAGAAGGGTAACGACATCCACATTCAATATTTGCTCTCAACTTCCACAAAAACGTTTCCATCCCCCTTTTGTTATGGCAGGAGGCATTGATGAGGGGTTGACCGCATGTCACAAGTTTCATGTCCATATTCCTTTCTTCAACATAGAGCAAACCAGTACATGAATACATGTACTATTGAATTTGCCGTATTTAAAAAAAAACACCCCAAAACACCAACTTGAACGATATGGGTTCCGTTTATACAGGGTGTTTAAAAAAAAAGTTACTCCTACTTTTTATACAGGGTTAATATGGCCAGACTATATCTTTACTAGCAAAAAGCGTGGTGTCATCTTGAAGCAGAAGCTACATGCTTTTCAATATCTCAGTTGACCTTCAGGGGTCACGTATCATTGAGCACCAGTATCTTGAAAATGTGGTGCAAAATTGGGGTTGGTTCACTTTCATGTCGAACAAAATCAGCACAGTGTGCTGGAGGACATTCGAGATGTTCTGACAAGAGCATTAAAAAATGCAAGACTCAGGTACTTGTTGATTCGTTTCACTCTAAAAGGGTCGGGGGGGGGGGACGACGAGGGGGGGGGCGGAGTCCGTCTCCCCCCCCCCCCTAAAAGATGGTAAAAATAACCCGGCCCTTTTAGGGTTAATTAACCTTTAGCGGTAGAATCGCATCAACGCAGCTTGTGAAATATTGTCCAATTACCAATGGATGCGGAACGCGCAAAATTTGAGACAAAAAAACTTACGAACAAGAATTCCATAGGGTTGTCTAAGGGGGTTGGCAAACAGCGATAGGTCAATTTTATTAATGAGTGAAACATTTTTAAGCATAAGTTTCTGATTTTCCCTCACTTGCCAAGGCACTCTCCTGGTCTCCCCTCTCCAAACACAGTTGACATCGACGCCGCATGTTGTCCACAGCTCACGGTATCTGGATCTTCTCACAAAATATCCACTTCGCACCAAAGCCAGTTACGCAAATCCTGCATGTTGCGCAGTAGGGTGCTGAACACTTTGTTCTTCAAATGACCCCCCCCCCCCCCAAAAAAAAGTCACATGGCATGAGGTCTGGTGGCCTGGGGACTACCGGGGTGGCAAAGTCTCGTTTGTGAAAGCATTCCCACAGGCGATTTCGAACAGCAAGGAAATGGTGGGCTGGTGTGCCATCTTGAGCCCACCACAGATAAACTGAAGATTACATTTTCCTGGTGTTGCAAGTGGAAAGTTGAACTAGTACTCATGAATAAAATTCAAGATTATACAAGAACCTGAGTCTTCTTCAATTTTTTAAGTGGTTGTGCTCTTTCATCTTGAATGTCCTCCAGCACACTGTGTCGATATTGTTTGACATGAAAGTGAACCAACCCCAATTTTGCACCATGTTTTCAAGACAATGGTGCTCAATAATGCATGACCCTGGAAAGTAACCAAGGTATCATTGAAAAGCATGTAGCTTTTGCATTAAGATGACACCCTACTTTCTGCTGGTAAACATATATTCTGGCCGTATTAACCCTTTAAATTAGGATTATCTTTTTTTTTAAAAACACCCAGTATATTAAAAGGGAAATACATTTGTGATGGCCGGTTTTAAACAAGTACGTGGATAATCTGTGAACAAGCCCATACCCGGTTTTAAAAGTACTTGTTTAATGCCGGCAAAGCACATATTTATTCCTGTACCTTTCGGTCAAAAAATCAAAACAAGTCACAAATTATAAATTTCCAACGATTTTCTTCAACAAGTTTACTTCATGTTTTGTGAAACACCCCTCCAGCTTTATGGTATGTGCCTCACGTGAGTAGTACTAAAAATTTCTTTATATGGGCCTTATTCACAAGTCGACCATATTGAATGTAAAGTGAGGTAAAATCTTCATTTTTACCCCTCAGCCGAGAGGCTCGAGGGGTATTGTCATCGCCTAGGGCTTCCGTCCGTCCGTCCGTATGTCTGTGCGTTCTGACCATACCACCCTTGTGGGGTGATGTTCCTTTCAGGACACATCACCCCACTTTTTTCACAAAAGAAAAACATCACCCCAGAAGGGAATCTTTAGAAAAAGGGATAATGGGAACACAATGCTATCACCCCACAATTCCGTCTGGCTGGAACGTCCGTCCGTCCGGGCAGCTTAGTTTCCGGATGATAACTTGAGTTAGAAATGTTGTTTGGGGTTGTAACTTCGGTAGGGGGTTGGCCTTGGGAGTAGGCAAGTTGGGATTGGTTTTGAGGTCAAAAGGTCAAAGGTCAAGGTCACCGTGGTGAGTTAAAGGTAAATGGTTTCTGGATGATAACTTGAGTTAGAAAGGAGATTTTGATGTCTAACTTTGGTAGGGGGTTGCCCTTGGGAGTAGGCAAGTTGGGATTGGTTTTGAGGTCAAAAGGTCAAAGGTCAAGGTCACCGTGGTGAGTTAAATGTAAATGGTTTCCGGATGATAACTTGAGTTAGAAATGAGATTTTGGTGTCTGACTTAGGTAGGGGGTTGCCCTTGGGTACAGGCAAGTTGGGACTGGTTCTGGGGTCAAAGGCCAAAGGTCAAGTTCACCATGTTGAGTTGAAGGTTAATGGTTGTCGGATGATAACTTGACTCTGGCTGAGGGGTTTCAACAGCAACGCTGTTATTTTTAGAACTTGCGAAGAGAAATGAAAGTAATGACAAAGTTAATGACGCATTATACCAGTCTGCTCTAATGAATAATGTACAATTTGTGATTAAATATACCCTAATGTTTAAGTCACAAAAAACGAAAGTGAGGCTAGAATGTATAAATAATCTGGCATCCTCCCATGCAACAATTTTGCACACCCCCTAGGGAGTTAGGGTTAATAAAATACATTCAGGGAACCCGACCAAAATGGCTTTCTCGTGAATAAGTCCATGGAGATTCGCACACGCGTGGTGCATACTGCACAATGTGGCGCAGAACAAAGCAGTGCCGGGGAAAAGTGTATAAAACCAGTTGGTGTTTTATCAACCATTTAAAACCACCTATGTGACAGGCTCTTGACCAGTAGGAATGGGTAAACTGTCTTGAGTGTATATGAATTTCCTTTTGATGAATACTTAAATGACCACCACCACAGTTTGAAAGATAATGTACTAACAATGTTGGGAAACTTGTAACAGTATCCCATATAATAACTTGTGCTTAGACACGGTCTTACATTGGCATACTCATCCATCATCAGGTCATGCGACACACCTTCAACTTCATAGGATGTTGTGAATACATCTCTCCTTTACTCCAACACATCCTAAGGTAAGACAATCACAGTCTGTTTTTGTCAGTTGGATTTTGTGTCAGGAAGATTTGATATTGGGTACAGCACTGAGTATGCGAATAGCAAAAAAACAAAACAAAACCAACAATAACAAATGTCTTCAAAAGAATACAACTTTAAAATGTATTCTGCGATAAACTTTAGATTGTACACTACTATTGGTGCTTCTCATAGCGTACAACCTATAAATATAACATTAAAATTGCCTTAAATGATTTTAGTAAAAATATATGTCTACGCATTATTTACAATTAATTTACACTATATATATCAGTCATATTTTCATTTGTAATCAATTGTAGTGTGAGTAGTACAGCAGCATATAATGAGTAAATTAAAACTGGGCATTAATTACAACAGATTTTGTTTAAAACGATGTCTGAAAAACTTGAATTGATTGGGAGCAGGCAAGGATCGGGATCCATGAGTATGGGACAAAGAAGTAACTCTCAACCAAAACTAAAGAGGCACAAGACAAACCACCAAATTAAGACAGGTTGATTAATTGTTTTTAGTTGCTGATTATCAAAAGATATTGTTGCTATAACTACATGAATCATTCAAGGTTATGGGTGATAGCAATGTACATGAAAGGTGACTGATTTTACAGGATTAATGATAAAAGCCTTTACCAAGCTGATGAAATGGTCCATTACCTTTTAAGCCAGGAATATCACCACAACTCACCAGAACATGTAAAGCATTTCTTCAGATGTTCACAGGCAGTTGTTAAATTTAGACCTTTGAAGTTATCAAAGGAAATGTTAGACATTGTCCAATCATTAATTTCTTAAATTTCCCCCCAAAAATATTAAGAACAACAAAACAAAACAATAATAAGTTTGCCAAGTCGCATCTTATGCCGAGTCAATTTGTCATTTAGTATAAAAAACGCACATGATCAATTTGGACAAGATTGAAATTTTCAATCCAATTAACCATTTCTGGTCAAGGAGATAATGAGCTGCATAAAAAGTGACTGACAGAAAGGGGAAAGATTAGCAAAAATGAAACATATCATGCAACTGTTTCCAGTTAATTTGCACTATTTAATGTTTATGCAAGTGAGTACTGTTTCAACATGACACCTTTATTAGAAAAAATGCAGCCTTAAGCAGTGGCGGCGCCAGACTCTAAAATTTGGGGGGAAATTGGGGGGCAAGGAAATATTTTTGGGAGCAGTCAAAATAAAATCTGATGATATCCAAAATCTAATGGAAAAGTAAGAAAGAGCCCAATAAAATAGCAACCTAAAAGCCTGTGTATGCATGCGCATGCCCATTGTCAATGGTCCCGAAAAAAGCCACTAGAGCTGCAACTCAGAAGTGTAGTCATTTTTATGAATGAGAAATGGTATCAAAACGCAGAATGGTGTACCATCCACAGACGATTCCAGGTTAAATGATTTGTTACATAACATATTACAATGCAGCAGCGTAGCCAGGGTTCTCACCCTAGGGGGGTGTGTGGGAGTGGCTTGAGGTTACAATGGGGAGGGGGGGGGGCCGACACCATCTTCCTATGGAGGTGCTGTTCATAACCTTTATCGTGGTAAATGTTAGACAATAACTACAGCTATTTCCTTTCCACGGACGTTAAAATAAACAGCCACTCGCAAAAAGAAAGGGTTTTGGCGAAAAATACCCACAAAATCGCGGAAAAAGGGGACTTTAATTGCTGATTTGAAAAGGTTGAGCAACTTATTTTGGAAACTGTTTGCCTAAAATGGCATCATAAATTCAAGATGGCTGCTGCATTTGCATTTCATCAAATAATAAATGAAGCATTTAGTTTTCAAAGACGCTGAGCCGTGAGGAAATGCTCTGGCCAATACGCCTCGAAGAGTACCCTCTCTGGCTGGGATTAGATAAAGTATCTGACTGATCCTCGCTAATGAGGGCGGCATTGGACCCAGTATCTGGACTATCCGGTGGGGGCTGATCAGAACGCGCTACTGGGATGGTAGGTTGAAGGTAGAGCGGAGGTGGCACTGGTGCAAGGGGCACTGGGTTGCTAGGGGTGATTTCAGTGTTAGTACCTCCAACTGGAGGTGGGGGAGGGGCCACAGGGGGAGCAGGGGGAGGAGTACGGGGAGGGTATTCAGCCAGCAGTCCCCCCGTGGGAGTTGAGTAGACAAACGGACGGTAGACACTTACATCAGAATCATGAACAGGGTTCTCCATGACTGGGGTGCCCTCCACATTGGCCTCTGGGTTAGCAATGCCATTCTCCATGCCGTGGGCATCTGAGTCCGGTAGGGGTGAAGTCTCCTCGGGCGCTGGCACTTCCAAATCCTGTTCTGCCACAGGGTTGGCAACTTCATCTGGCTCGCCATTTTCTGAGTCAATGTTGATGAGGAATTGGTTGTCATCCATGCTATTGGTATCACCCATGCCAGCATCTGGCTGGTCTATAGACTTGGAGCTGCCAACAGATACAAATTGTTTTAACAAAATATTACAATTTCTCAAAGTCAGTCAATATTTTAGATGATGGTATATACATGTAAAATAGGTAAATCTTTTGTTAAAACAACAGCTAACACCATACCAGCACACATCTAGCACATGAACCAACCCAAGTTGCAAGCATCAATGTTCAATCTCTTCAGGCCATTATTGTGGCAAGCGGCATTTACATGATGACCTAGCAATCAGCAATTTTGGGTGAATGTTGGGTCTGATTTATGAAAATACCATTAACTCAATAGGTAATTTTCAAAAACCCTTTCTGAATCCACCAAAATTACCAGTTAATTGTTATGGAATCAAGTCCCATGTATTGAGTACCAATAGCCTAGCTGTACCTTATGCCTACTCTGTTCAGCCACGTATTAAAAACAAAGGGGAGGGGCCCAAGAAAAAGGATCACTTCTCGTACATCATTTCAACTCTTCCACAACCTGCACACATACTAACACACTCTGTGATTCTTTGTGTACTTACCAATTTTTCCATACGTTGTTATTTTTTGTGTATTTTCAACATTTTATGTTTTGTATAGGATCGTTCCTGTTTTTGTTGATGATGGGGTGGTGGAGGGGAGGGGAACAGTGTACCTTCCCAACTTCCTGAGCTGGGTCAAAGCCTATAAATTGAATATTAGTAGAAACCATTCCGACAAACCTGGTGTCAGCCTCCATCTTCACATTGGCAGGTGCAGATTCCCCAGAGCGCTTGGCCCCAGAACTGCAACACATCATCATGCAGGTGATGACAAACACAGTCAGACAGATCAATACCAAGACAACAACACCTTTAAAAAAGGTCAAAGTTCAATGGTCATTTAAATTGTGAAAGGCCAACCCAATTTAAGCATCAGGTACTGCACGAAAGAAAAATATCATCAGACTTGTTGTGACTATAGGCTACTGGTTTCACTCCACCAAATGTGGCTCACAGAAAATAACACAGCATCAGACAGAAAAAGCACCAGAAAAAGCGCTCAGGAGCAGGTTTTTTTCACTGGAAATGAAAGATTACGACCTCTAGGACAATTTTCTTTTGAATATTACCAGAGATAGCCGTATCATTTTTTTTACATCCCCCCCCCCCCAAACCACCCCTTAACCAAATGTCAATCTCTTGGTCGAGGCCTAAATGTAGCCCCCCACCTTTATGGGAAATAGGCCCACAAGTTTGGGCTTTTTGTTAACCCTAAAAGCGATGGCTTCTAAAAAAAATTTTTTCGCAACCTGAGCTGTTATGACTTTTTAGCCTCGAGCTTTGCGCATCTTTTGATACCAAAAACATAAAAATTGGACCACGGGTTGCCGCGTAGTGAAAAATTGTCATGAATAATTAATTAGCCATAATTCCAAAACCTACTAACCTATAGTCATGAATTTTCTCGATCTTCAGAAATATGTATACAATCTGTCCCAAGTGTAGGCCGCAAGGACCTCTTATTCAAACTTACCTGTGGGATCACAAAATATTAAAGAGCTTGCATGCAGGAATTTACAGCTTTTTGGTGGTTTGCACCCTACATATCCTGCAGTTCTGAAGAGCATGTGACCTTGTCAAATGTCAATCTAAATTGTTCCTGATTTAAATCACAACCAAAATTCACCCAAGTCTATGAAATAAAATGACATTACCAAGGCAGTCTACATCTGTTGTAGGGCTGATAGTATGGAGTTTCAACCTTTCTAGTTATGAATTTTGACTAACTGCATACTTGCTTGTGTCTCCCTGCACTGGAGATTCTACTTCTAAAGTTATGGAATTTTAGATTATGCTCAGTCCTTACAGCAAGCGTGCAATTGCTTAGATTATAACTTAGCTAACTTACACAGGATCACCACGGTGAAGATTGGTAATGGGGAACTTCCATCGTCTATTCAAATAAGGAAAAGTATAAACTGCAGGTAAGACAATGTTGAAGTGAAAAAAGTCAACACGAATCTGTTTGAGGAATGCTTCAGATATATACGTTTGTTTTTAAAATCAAAGTCGCAGTCATAGTGACGGATACCATTGCTTCATTCCAGCTACAAATGTTTAATGCATACTAAGCAAAGTTTAAATATCTATTTGGTGCTACTTAATTGGTAGGAATTGCTACAAAATAATTAAGCCTGATGTTTATGCATAGTTAAAACAACTTAAAATAATAGTGTTCTTTAAGGACAAGTGAAATACATTCATTTTTGATTTTCCACCTGTTAGTTTATGTGGTTTGAATGAAATTTAAATGGGCTGAATAAATGTCACAATCTTTCGAAGTGTACCAATACAAAATTTTAGAAACAGGCCTTTCAACTGTACCTTGGCATTCCAAGTTTCTATCAAATCTCCCAGTAGATTGACACATGTAAACTCGCCCTCCAACTGGTCGGTAGCCCGCTCTGCAATCTAGTAAGTAGTCGTCTCCCTCGTACACGTAAGGTACAATGGCATCGGTGGAAGCAATGTTGGGAACATTTGGGACCAGACAGTGAGCTTTGTCTGAAAGAAAGTCACCTTATCTTCAGTATTCAGACTAGATCATTAGTATTGGAACCTATAAGTCAAGTTTCATCTTCCAATTAAAAACGAGAGTTAACTCTACAAGTAAAAGGTGAAAAAATGGCAGTGACCAACTAATAATCAAAAGCTTTTAACTTTAACTGTTGTGGAACTGAACGTTGGTGCTAGGACTGTATGAGGGAGTGAAATAGAGACAGTGTCAGGGATTTCAGTTTTTCAATTAAGCACAATCTTGTGAACTTTTTGACTTTAGATGTAGTGTCTAAATTTCACCTAAAAATTAGATTTTGTTTTTAATTGCTATTTTTCAAGCAGCAACAAAAGTTGTCACTTTGAAAGAGACATCAACCCCAAACAAATTGGCCGCCATTAAGTTACAGAAAAATTACCTCACAAATTGTTATTTATTTGTGGCCCAACAATTAATGGAGTTCTCACAGGATGGACTGGTTCCCGCCCTCTGTTACAGTCGATACCATTGGGACTGGGAATCAGTCTTCTCATAGTAGGCCCGACAACCAATTTTTAGCAATCGTAAAAGGGTCTTAAAACAGCTACAGTTGGATAGATCTCATTGAGTGCTTTTCAAAAATGTATAACTTTATAGGATTTCAATTAGCCGTTTTTGAGTTACGATTAAAAAAAAAGTGCCAAATATTGACTATTTTTGGATAAAATAGTTGATTTTTATGAAAAGTAATTAATTACGACTTTTGTGACGCTATATATTCCCCCCCCACAGAAGTGTGGTTGGGGTCTACGAACGAATACTTACCTGTAGAGCAACACTACTTATGCATATTCCCCCTACCGGCAGGTATTTTCGCTAAGAGTTATATACAATAGCGCCCTCCGGCGCCCTACCCATAACACCCCGCGGCATGCGTGCCTCGTGAGCGTCCTCTTTTCTCGAGCGCTAAGTCGGAATACAACAAAGTACCCAAGGCATCGAGAAGAGTGGGGTAGGAGGGAGGGATGCTCTACAGGTAAGTATTCGTTCGTAGACCCCAACCACACTTCTGTGGGGGGGGAGTCTACTTCACTCTACTTACCTGTAGAGCAACACTACTTATGCATAGACTAGCACCGTCAAGGAGGTGGGCCATGCGAGATGCTATTGCTTACTCACAGGGGCATGGAACATGGAATGTAACCCCAGATGGCTCCCACTGTTCCGTCCAAAGGCGGACAGGGAAAAAACCAAGAACTGTACATGTAAAGGATATTAATTACCCTCACATGTTAATCGAGATGTCAGCCCTCGTTAGGGGGAACGTCTCATAATGTAAAGTATTATATAATAATAAATATAATATATAATACAGCTGAATCCTGCAAAGAAGAGTACTGTTAGTACACGACACTTCTTAAAGCAAGTTCTAAAACACTTCAAACCAAGCCCATGCACAAGGTAAACTGTATAAAAAGAAGGTAACTTGTCCAAGACCAATGACCTTATTACAAGAGTGTTTAGCTATACATTTATATTCAATACAATGTAATGTATAATGTAAATAGCCAGGATGAGGAGACTCACCTATTCTAGGGAAGCCCCGGGTAGGAGAGGATCCTGTGGACCTGATGATGCTCGGCTCGCCGCCTTCAGCACCACTCTCCCGGCTCTGCCTTCCGTCTGGAGGACATCCTTCAAATAGCACTCTGTAAAGGTGTTGGGGGTTTTCCAACACGCTGCCTGTGTGATATCTTTAATAGAAACACCCTTAAAAAAGGCCCAGGAAGTAGAAGCTGCCCTGACCTCATGTGCATGGACTGACCCAACGGAATCTGTTGTTGGTGAGTCTATTGCTGATTTGATGGCCGTAACCAACCAGCGGGAAATTGTATCACGCGAGGCCGGTCGGTATGGTGGAGTCGTTGTTATAAACAGCTGTGAATGGCCGCTTCGGAGCGTTTTAGTTCTATCAATGTACCACTTCAGGGCTCTGACCGGACACCAAAGTCTGTCACCAGAGACAGACGAAAAGGATTTGATGTCCGGCACAAAAATGTCAGGAGGTGAAAATGATTCTGACTGATTTTTGGTCAGAAAACCTGTTTTAGGAACCAGGCGAACACCCCCTGGTTCCCACCGGATATGACCTGTCTCCACCGTAAGCGAATGCAGCTCGCTACGTCTTCTAGACGTAGCCACTGCTAATAGAAATGACACTTTAACCGACAGCTGCAACAAGGTTGAGCTGCCCATTGGTTCAAACGGGGGTCTCGATAAGGCTGATAAGACAGCAAAGAGATCCCACGATGGTAATAGCCTACGTGTCGGGGGGCGTGACACAAACATCCCCTTGATAAGTTGGCTAAGATTCTGATTATCTGACACAGAGGAACCGTCAGAGAAACCTCCATGAATAGCCGCTATAGCCGAACGATAATTCTTAACTGTGGCTGTAGCAAGATCACTGTCAAAGAGGCCTACTAGGAAGTCTGCAATCTCTCCTATAGAAGTATCGGAGGGACGCAGAGACCTGGCTCTACACCATCTGTAAAAATGGTGTAATCTACTGTTATAAATTTTCCTGGTAGACTCCCGCCGGCTGCAGGCTGCAATGGCCGCAGCTCGTTCAGAAAGGCCCGCCGTGCGGAAGGATTGCTTGATAATACCCAGCACGTCAGGTGGAGATCCTCCGGGGCCGGGTGAAGAAAACCCGAGCTGGGCTGGAACAGTATGTCTGCCCTCTTCGGAAGAATCACCGGGCGGTGAACCAAGAGCTTGATGAGTCTCGGGAACCAAGGTTGGCGTGGCCAAAATGGAGCTATGAGGAGGATCTTGCACTCCTCCTGTTCCACTTTGGTCAGTACTCGCGGTATGAGGGAGAACGGGGGAAAGGCGTACGCAAGTAGTCTGTCCCACCGTATTGCCAGTGCGTCTGTCTGCCATGCGCAAGGGTCGTTGTGTCTTGCGCAGTATACCGGTAACTGGTGGTTGTTTCGAGAGGCAAACAGGTCGACATGAGGCCGATCGATCAACAGAAAAAGTGATTGGACAACCTGCGGACGCAGTGTCCATTCCGTCGGAACGACCCACCCCCTGGAGAGAGCGTCGGCTGTGACGTTCTCCTCGCCTGGGAGATGAGTTGCCACGAGTGTTACTCCGTGGTCCATACACCAGTGGAAGAGATTCTACGTGAGCGCGCATAGTTGGGCGGATCGCGTGCCTCCCTGTCGATTGATGTAGGCCACTACTGTGGCATTGTCGCAACGAATGTTGACTACCTGGTTTGTCACTGATGCTTGAAAACGTTGGAGAGCATTGATGACTGCCAACATCTCCAGCACATTTATGTGCTTCGAGCACTCTTTGGGCCCCCACCGACCCGCTACTTGGCGCGGGTGGAGGGTGGCCCCCCAGCCAAAAAGTGACGCGTCTGTCGTGATGGTCACTGACGGCCTGGGATTGTGAAAAGCGTGCCCCTCCGTGAGATTGGCATTGTCGAGCCACCAACGGAGGTGCGGTATTAGCCAAGGTGTGGTCGGCACCAGATGACGTATGTGATGACGACTGGGCCGATAGAAGGACAGCAGATGTAATTGGATGGGACGCATCCTTAGTCTGCAAAAGTTCACCACATCTACCATACTGGCCATAAGACCGAGCAACCTTAGCCAGGCTTGCGCTGGGGCCATGGTCGTCGGGAGAAACAGAGACACACACTGTTGGAGATTTACAATTCGTTCCTCCGTAGGCCGAACCAATCCCCTCTGGAGATCGAGTGACGCTCCCAGAAAGATTGGGAATTGGGATGGATGTGGATGGGATTTCTCGGCGTTGATAATAAACCCGAGATCCGCCGCTAGATGCCAAGTCAGATTGAGTGCCGCCGACGCGGCCGTCTGAGATTGAGCAAGAATGATCCAATCGTCCAGATACATGAAGATCATCACACCTTGTTTTCTTAATGCGGCCCCGATTGTCTTCACCACACGCGTGAAGACTCGGGGTGAGGTGGCTAGACCAAACGGAAGAACCATGAACTCGTACTGGACGTTCTCGTACTGAAAACGAAGAAACTTCCAGTGGTCTGGTCTGACAGGAATGTGTAGATACGCATCTTTCAGATCGAGACTGGCTCCCCATGCAGGTGTACGAATCGATTGGAGTATGATGTTGAGCGTATCCATGCGAAAACGTCTTGGCCGAATAAATTTGTTGAGGGGTTTTAGATTTAAAATCGGGCGCCACATGCCGGCCTCCTTCTTGGGTACCAGAAAGAAGGTCGACATGAAGCCCGACCGCGTCTCCCCCGGAGGGAGCGGGCGAATTGCCCGTTTCCCGAGGAGGGAACTGATCTCCCCTTCGAGGGAGAGACGTTTGGTAGGATCGGACGGAACTACCGTCGGTCGAACGACCATGTCCGACGGGGGGGCGCTCGAGAACTCGAGTGCGTAGCCGCACCCGATCGTGTCGAGCACCCACCGGTCGGACGTAATTAAACCCCAGGACCCCGCAAAGTCTCGGAGACGGCCTCCCACGGGTCCGACGGCGGGAGGCCGCCACGAGTCTACTAAGTCACTTGCGCCAGCCCCCGGGATAGCGGGGGGCCGGTGCCCGGAAACCACGACCGGATTGGGGCCGTTGTTGTCCAGAGAACGTGCGGGCCTGCGTGGCGCGCGCACCGGAAGAATTGTCCGTGCGGCCACGAAAACCACCGCGACCAGATTTCAGAGGTTTGCGGCGGGGAATGACAAATGTTTTGCCCTTACCACGCTGTTGTTTGGACGCCGGTGCTGGAGGCTTCTTGAAGTTGATTTTCTCCGTAGCCTTCAGACGTTTGGCCTCATCTCGCATCTGATCTTCGAATTTCCCGTCAAAAAGATCCGTGCCCGTCAGGGGGAGATCTTCAAGTCTTTTTCGAGCACCCTGCGACGGGAGGAACAGTGCATCGAGCACGTTACCCCGGCGGGTGGACGTTGATAGGGCCGACACTCGTGCGAATTGATCAAGCACTGAGCGTAGACCATGGTCAAGGCAATGAAGGGCCGCAGTCAGCATATCCGCTGGAATCGGCGAGTCCTCTTCATAGCCCACGGCTAAATATTCAGTAAGAAGAAGTAAGAAAGACGTTGACCGCGAGCCAAAACGTGAAGCTGTGTCTATCTTCTTCAAAACGTCTTCAAGTTTACAACGTGATTTGTCCGCAAAGGGTCGCTTGGAAGACGAACCACTCTCATCGGCCGCAAGTTTATCTTTTGCTGCGTCGGGGAGAGTAGGCGGAGTGAAAAACTTCGCAAAATCTTCAGCTGGGAAACGAAAATAATCTCGTTCCCGTCTGAGAAACGGACGCCATCTATCCGTTGACATGATGTTGTTGATATGTTCCACGCATACTTGATCTAAAGGAAGTATGGGGAATATTTTATCACTGCTAGATGTGGAGCCCGTCCTTCGCTTGAAAGATTTATGATCGGGCGGAGGGGGCTCATCAGCGGAGGGTAGATGAAGTACTCGTATCATATCCCTCTGTACTAAACGGAGCTCCGTCTCAGAGATAGACAGCCGTTGTAATCGGTCTGGTTCCTCGTCGTCATCGGATGACTCAGCCGATTGTGAGGGCCGAGTTGACTCCGGTGAACGAACGTCGTCTGGAGGGGCGAGTTGTACCGAGCCACGCGCTAGCGGCTGGACAACTTCCTCAGAGCCATACTGCATGGATGGATGAATGCTCAATACAGGCGGGGATCCCAGCGTACACGGTAGATCCCGCGGCCTCTGATCCACCCAACCGTGGCTCACGGCCGATGCATGCGAGACACTCGCTGCAGGCCGGGCCTCCGGTGTACGGTCAACCACGTGTGGTATATCCCGTTGTGCCTGGGCCACCCAACCGTGGCCAACGAACGACGATTGTGAAGTTCTCACCGCAGGCGGGGACGCGGGAGCACGACTAATTGTGTGCGGTATGTCCCTTTGTTCCCGGGCCACCCAAGCGTGACCGGTGACTGAAGACTGCGATGCGGGCCCAACAACCGATGGCTGTGGGCCGTAGTCCACCGCTGCAGGGGGCCCCCCAATGGGGCCCGCCCGGCGGCCTGCAGACATAGCCGATAGCGTATCAGAAATCGACTGGAAAGCCTGCAGGAAATCTGCTCTGGAAACCGCGTCCTCCCCCCGGGAGCGTTTGCCCCGGCGGGACCGGTCAGAGGAGTCGTCCGACTCCGAAGAAGAACGGCGTGATCGACGTGTAGCCTTCTTCTTACTCTTCTTCTTCTTAGAAGAACGGCCCCGAGGTGTGTCCGAAGAAAAATCGGAAGACACCTGGGACACCGGGACCCCCGAACAACGGAAAAATTCCGATGATGAGGGTAGTCCCTCTGAGCGAGATGGCACGGGGGCCGTCGGCCCGGGATCCCCCCGGGCGATCGGCTCCGTATCGCTCATAATGCACCCGGCCGACAGCGCCTCAGGCCCCGTGGGCTGAGCGAGCACTGAACGGGCCGGTAGCCCGCGCAATAGCCCATCCCGACAACCAGTGGTGTTCGGCACTGTGTCAGGAGGACACGGGTGACTAGCGCCCACCGAAGTGTGACGGCTAGCCCCCTCGGGCTGCCCCGTGATCGGGGGAGGGCCAGGTGCCACAGCGGCGCTCGTTGCCGAGCCACGCTTGCCCTGACGGCCCTTCTTAGGCTTTGCTCCGGCACAGGAGATATGTTTTGGAGGAACCTTGCCGGAGTGTGCCCTTAGTTTGGGTGTTTCGCCTGAGTTGACCGGAGAAGGTGACCGAGGCCCCCTTAACTGATCGGCGGAACTGCCAACTCCCCCAGCCGACTGTGGCTGAGGGTGTCGGACGAGAGACTGCTGCCGCGGTAACGACGTAGCGTTAACGGCAGAGTCCCCCGAGGACTCGGTCCGTCCCGTGGGAGAGGAATTCCCCCCGGTTAGTGACAGATCGGCCCTCCCCAAACGCTTCATAATTATGAAATAAACGAAACCAAGAAGATGATGAAAACTCTACAAACTAATGAATACTAAATCTTTTATTAAATACTTCTCTTAAACGCAAAAAAGGGTAGTAAATGACGAGGCAAACAGCGAGCTATTTCACGCACGTCCTACCCGACCTGCCGCTAAGAGAAAAGAGGACGCTCACGAGGCACGCATGCCGCGGGGTGTTATGGGTAGGGCGCCGGAGGGCGCTATTGTATATAACTCTTAGCGAAAATACCTGCCGGTAGGGGGAATATGCATAAGTAGTGTTGCTCTACAGGTAAGTAGAGTGAAGTAGACTCAAATTTATAGCAACTTGAAGGTTTTAAAGTATTTTTTGTACAATCTATGAAGGATGAGCATGCAATTTTGAGAGTAAAACACCAACAGAAAATTCCTGTTTTTTTAAAATAGCGCGTCAAAATCCCACCATTGTTCATTTTTGTACAAAAAAGTATATTAAAAACTCACTTTACAGTCATTTTTCTGAAATAATGCCATTTTTACTGGACAATAACTTTAGAAATTAATGCATTCTTTATTCTATTTTCGCAGAACTGAAAGGTTCTACAGGGTTTTGTCATCTACGAAGTTTCACAGTCACTGGTTACACATTTTGTGAGATACAGGACCACAAAATCAGAGTTTAAGGGAAATCAGAGTTTTAGGGAAAATCTTAAACCTGAAATTTGGCTGGTGTGTTCCTCTAGTTATAAACAACTCCACCACTAATATTTATTTGAAACTGGCTTATATTGTACTAATTATGTATGTAAATGTATGCAAATGACCTTTAATGCCCTAATTAATATTCAAAACTGCCATAACTTTTTCAAATAATTTTCATCGGTTTCATTTAAAAAAACAATGACATACGATGATGTTCATTGTAGACTCCCTTATTTTATCTGCTTATGATTATCGACTGGTGTGATGATAGTTCTGGAGAAGTTTAAGAAGTCTAAGTAGTGTTTTTTGTGAGATGATTTAAGGAAACACTATGATGAAATGCACTAGGCTTATTGTGTAGCCCACGATGCATGGCATGCATAGTGTAACCATGTGCAGTACTTGTGCACAGTCGGTGCAGTTTAGAGTGGATTGCTATGTGTACATGAATTTCGATGACAATGTTTCGATGACAATTTTATTGGATCTTTCGAAGGTTTTAATCATTAGGAGCGGATTCTTACGTGAAACGTAATTTTTCCTTATGAAGTTTTTATAAATTGGAGATTTGTGTTGTGCATCTAGGAACGGATTTGAGTGCATGGGTGCTGTAACACTGCACACTCTTTGTGGACCTCGTAACAATAGAGGTCCACAGGGTGCAGGAAGTGTGAACGTTTTTGGACTTACCCACGTCCACACAACGTTTGCCCCTCTGTGAAAAAGCCTTTTTAGAGGCATTTTTGGGGTTAGCAAACTGAAGAGGAACAGTGTACAAAACCATGATCAAAAGTTTGGGTTGAAAAAGTGTTCACAGTGCACCTAAAATTGTTTTTCTCTTTTTTTTTTATTAACTGCATGAATACAAAGGAATGTCCACATGAGGTATGGAAGGTATGTGTGGGTGTGCCAAATTCCATGGGGCTACTGATCCAAAAACATCAGTAAGCAAATTAATCTGCTCAGCCATAATCAGTTCAGCAACAGTCACAAATTAAGTCATATACACTGCATGGCATTTTGCTTGGTCTCCTTTTTTTTTTATTTAGTATTTCCTGTGCTGAGCAACGTCTGTTGCTTAGCAGCATATGAAATTGTTACCTCATGCTGTCAACTCAACAACACCAGGCAGTAATGTACCACCCTATGTGTTCCAGTATGAGTCCATTTGTAGGTTCAAACCCCTTATAATAGGGCCATTAGAAATAGTATGTTTATGGAATACGTATAGGGCTCAGAAAAACTTGCTTTTTAAATCACCATTTTGTGAGGTTATTTCACGAAACCCACATACATACAGTATGTTAACATTTTCATGTGCAATGCACATTGCCCAAAGTGTGCCAGATGAGGTAGATGTGCCAGACAGCATGAGGTAACATACGCATGCAAAATGGTGATTTAACGTACACTATTTTCTGATTGGCATACATATCCCGCACGCATACTATTTCTTATGGTGATTTTAAGTAAGGTACCTCTCAAGGTTGCAGAGATGGAGTAAGTACGGTTGAGAGCAGTGGCATTGACCGTGTCCCTCTTCTCCATGATGGAGCCAGCTACACTTCCATCTTCAAGATTCCATCTCATCCAAAGTGTGGCTTCCTCGTCTGATGAGATTACATCGCTGAACACCAGTGGTGAGGTCTGGAAGCGGATTCCCATCACATCCCCAGGACCAAAAGGAAGCCAGTCATCCCTGTTGAGTGAAACTGATGCAATCCCCGGGTGTGCTCCTTCTAGAGCGGCCCTGGCAGATAAGCTGTACAGCCACTCATCTGTGTCTGGATTGTGATTAGGTTGCCATATACTGACTTCCAATGCATGGTCGCCAGCAGAAAAATAACTAATGTTGGTCAAGAAACCACTGCAGTTGAAGGGATTGCCAGTGTTGATGAGAAGAATGTCAGTCATTGTCTCGCTACCCGTTCTGTTTTCCAGAGGAGCCCCCTGATAAGCAGGACACATCATGACCGTATCTGTATCAGACAAATGCACAAATCGAGCAATGACATAGTTTGTGTGGTCAAAAAAGTTAGTTAGTAATGAACATTGAGTGTTCTTGTTATGCCTGCTTGTCATGCCTGATAGTATGTTCACCAAATGTAAAACATGCCACTCGGCATAGCTACTAGACCCTCCAAGTAGCTCAATAGTGTAGAATTTAGTACTGGCTGAATGTGATCTGAAAGGAAAAGAAACTATAGAGGGACTAACATAAGGTTAATACCTTGGTCATCAATTGTACTAGTTGGTGGTTCCGAGGTGCTATCAATGGCCAGCACATCGGTACTCATTATAGCATCTAGACTGGGAGTCGTCCGTGAATCCGGAGAGTCTGTGGGCTGACCAATAGTAGGGCCAACTGGAGGCAAGGTCTGTGGCTGTGGAGCATCGGTTTGGGGAGCTGTCAGGGGGATGGTTGGTGGGTCAATTGGTGGGTCAGTTGGTGGGTCAGTTGCTGGCACAGTAGGAGGCACAGTTGAAGGTACAGTAGGGGGTTCGGTAGGAAGTTCCACTGAAAGGACATGGACATGAAAAATTCATTAACAAGGGAATAAATGTTTGCCTGGCCAGTTTAAAACACTCTGTTTAAGACCGATTTGAGTCTGGATGCTGATAATTACCCGAACAGAATGCGAGGGTAATTAAGATTAAAACACAATCACAGGAATATGTAATGTTGGACTCGCAATTATCAACATCCAGACTCCAACTGGTCAAAATATATAAATTTCCAACAATTTTGGTCAACAATGTTGCTTCATGTTTTTTGGGATACCCCCCAGTCTCACGAGTAGTGGTAAACAACTCCTTATGTGAAGATTGGCGCGCGCATCGCGTGTACAGCACGATGTGGAACAGAATGCAGCTGTGCCAGTGTGTTACGATATGAAATGCTGACTTGGTGGATGCATTGCGCATGCCTACATGAGGATTGTGAACATTCAACAAATAAAATGAAAAATGGCACCAGATTTCATAGGAGTCCAAATTTGATGTGACACTTATCATGCATTTAAAACTGGCAACGTGACGGGCTCTCTACCAATAGAAATGGCTCAACTGTCTCAACTCATCCCATTTATTGGCTCAACTGTCGAGTCATTAGGTCAAGAAGGTTGAGTCGAGTCGAGGCGAGTCAAATATTTAGCTCGAGTCAATTCGAGTCACGAATATTTGCACACTATATAACAAATAAAGACATGGGAGTCATTTGTATCACTAATAGTGAACAAGAAGTGAAACTTCGATCTTATATAGGCTGTCTGGTTTGGCTTCGGGTCTATTTTTTTGGCTGCATGACCGCTGACATCAAAACCAAACTGCGTTAAATACAAAACTGTTTCGGATTTTTTAAACAGTTGGCATGTATCTATTTAATTTTTAAAAGGAGGGCATAAATTTAGCCGGCGTTCAAATCCAAGAGCTATATAAAAAATCACCCAAAGCCAATGCTGAAAACAGGAATTAGAAAATGTGTTTTAAGTCGGCTCTGGGATAGTATTTTTGTGCGTTCCAAAACCACAAGGTGGGAGTCTGTGACACGTATGTTTGTACACGACATCAACAAGCGGTTGCTGTACCGCACTGTATTTGCAAAGTGACATGAACATAAATTTGCTAAGTCATTGCAAACATTTTTTGCTTTTATTTTTGCGACTCGAGTCCTTTTAGCCTTTGCTCAAGTCGAGTCTTCTCATGAGGGACTCGAGTTGAGTCAAGTCATTTCCTCGCAGTGACTCGAGTCGAGTCGAGTCATTAGGGACTCGAGTCGAATCACCAAAAATTGAGACTCGAGTAAAACTAGAGTCTAGTCAGTGACTAGTATTAGTTTCATATATTTCAGATAAGTGAAGGTGCTTAGATACCTACAAGTACTTTTACTTTGGACTTAATATGGTTCTTTACATACTATGTGTACTAGTACTAGTCGCGTGATGGTGAACGCTATCAGCTGATGATCGCAGAACGCTGAAACCTTTTGGGTGCAGTTTAAAGTCTTCAAGCAAGTTTGCGATAAAGCGTGCAACATACGCATGATGTGCGCAAAATTCAAATGTTGGATGTAATGCAGTGGCAAAAGGGAACAAATTTATATTTATAGCAAGATAAATAGCAACATTTATAGAAAGATACAAGCTTGAAAAAAAAAGCTTGAAAAAAAAAAAAAAACCACCCCCCCAAAAAAACCCCGCGTCGCCGCATCAATTCCGCAAGATACAAGCTTGAAATAAAAAGCTTGGAAAAAAAAAGTCACCCCCCCCCCAAAAAAAACCCGCGTCGCCGCATCAATTCCGCAAAATGAAAGTGTTTCAATTAGTATTTCCTTTATTGCAAATCTTCACAGCGAGTGGTGATATTGGTAATAATTGAGTGAGGTGGTTACTGAAAGTAGCGAGGTGGGCCGCCTCAAGTTTGAATGGGCAGGGGAAACACTGCGTTGTGCATGTACTGGTATTGTTCCGAATTGCTTGCGCTACAGAGCTGGATTCAAACAGTTTGGGAAGGGGTAGTTTGGAAAAGTGCTAGTAAATATTCAACTAATTTTGTATTCAAACAGAAGTACTGGTACATTTTAATCGTATTAGATTAAATTAATCAATTATCCCTTAAAATCAAGCAGAATCTGTGGGAGAGGTGTTATAAAACAAATACTGACTGCTTTATCTCGTGGTGTAGTAAAACTAGCCTCCCTCGGTGATCCATGGAGCATTCTATTTTCCCTCAGCTTCGCCTCGGGAAAAATAGAATACTTCATGGATCACTGGTACGAGGGAAGCTATAGTTCTATTACACTACATTAAGCAGTCAATGTTTGTTCAATGTTTGTATTACATACTGCTGTTGGAGTTTGGCAGGTTTAAAATCAGTATTCAGTCAGTCATGATTTTATTAGTTTATAGTAGTGAAAAAAAAGTTTTAACACACACTTCATACAACTGTAGACGATAGGACTGTATGTCACTTTGGAGTGGTGATTCTCTTTATACATTTTTTTCGATTTGTGAGTTTTTGCATCGGGGGGGGGGGGAACTTGGGGTGGCCTCATTTTATGTAAGTACACTCAATGAGTTTTAAAAACAAAAAAGTTGGGTTGGGGAGCACAAGTGGGGGAGAGGGAAAAGCTCATTTCTGGGTAGCCATTTGACGTTTTGATGATGATGGCAATGACAGTGATGACAATGACGCTTTTAAAAATGTTTTTATCATAACAAATTTGGTCATAATCATCACTAAGTTTGCACCTTTGCCATATTATTACATATATTTTAAGTTGAAAGTTGCAAGTATCCTTGCCAATTAATTTAAAGGGTAGGATTTCGCTTAGATACCGGAAATACATGCCTTCTAAATATATGAACACAGCTTGTTCAAGACTTGTGTCCGTCAAAGAAGAGGGAGAAACCGGTGCTTTAGGCCAACTTTTTAGGTAGAGTCACACCATTATGATCCCTATTGTACATAAAGCCTATGTCCTAACAGGACAATTTCGGTGAACCTCAAGCAAGGGTTTGCAAAAGCTGCATACCAATCCCATCTTCATTTGCCACGCTATGTTCAATTTGCTGATTTTTTGGCTGTTTCGGCACTTTTGCCGAAACAGCCTTTGTTTTCGTTAAGATTTTTTTTTTTTTCTTTTTTTTCTTTTTTTTTTTTCAGTCATTTTGCCCATAGCATTTGTACACGTTTTTTTGTCACCGGCACTTTGGGCACTAACATCAATCCGATTGACTTTATACTTTGCACGCACTTAGACCAGCATCTGAAGTTGTGTGCCGAACATTGACGTCATCGTGACGTCATCGACTAATTTATTATAGAATTTTGAATATTTAATTTTTCCCATAGACTTTGTACACAGAAATCGAAAAAAAATTGTCGATTTTCAAAGGGAATTTTTGACTCTTTGCCAGTAATTCATTTGCACCAATCTTTGTCCAAGCAAAGACCCTAATTCAAACAACATTGTGTAATGATGACGTCATGATGACGTCATCCGGTGTGTATTTATAGGCAATTAAATTGTGACACTTTTAATATTTAAAAATGCATAAGAAATCAACCGTACGCGTCCGCAGCATTCTGTTACCGGCAAGTGGTAGAGTAGGTTGAGGTCTTTATTTCATTCAGTGTGCGTGAAATCACGTGACCCTTGCTTCCGGTCGAAAAAGGCCAAAACCGGAAGTGGCTTATTATTTGAAAATGGTAATAGATATGAACTTGCTTTTAACGGTGTTAGTCTCTTGGCTAAAAGTATTCTTCAAATCATCTACCAATGACGTCATGCAATCTTCGAGCGCCCTCTAGCGTCAGGTTGAAAATTTGCAAAAATGTATTTTGAATCGATGTCTGTAGCGAAGTTTGTCGGAATCGCCTAAATATTAGTGTATATGATGACCTTGACCCACTTAAGACGTGTGCGAAGTTTTAGGCGGATGACGTCATCAGACCGGAAGTTATAATAAAAAGACCCTTTTTCATTTGAAAATTCCTGAAAAATCAACCATGGCAGTTTTTATGTTAGTTTTTACTTTAATTGTCGATTTAAGGGTAGGTCTAACACATTTCAAAGTTTCAAGGCAATAAGCGAACTCGGACATGCCCTGCGCACACTTAAAACTTCAGGTTGACAATACATCTGCTCTAAAACATGCACAGAACGTCTATTTGTACATACACGTACGTTACGCACATACTGTACATGTACATCGTACATGTAATGACAGTCAGCCTGCAGAGCACGTGTTGCCGAGGTCAAATCCTGTCCACATCATATCACAGTGACCGTTTTAGCCGATTTTCGGCTAACTTTGACAGATTTTATGTTCGTGCAAGCGCATAGTCAGGGACGTATAATAAAAAATCATAATGCCGAAAAGCCCTATGTTACGTATTTAAAGGTGCAGTTTTTCTGCATTGGGATTTTCCCACAAGTCTTTACCTATACAACACTGATATCTTACTGAGTAGTTCTGAACTTCAGCCGAGAATTACTATGAGAAGGAAAGAGAAATCGTATTTTTTTTCGCGCTGTCATTCGATTGAACATATTCCTAAGGGTCAGAATATCAAGTAATATTTCATAAAAATGTTTCAGTTCAAAGGCAAATTACAAATTTAAAGGTGCAATTTTTCTGCAGTGGGATTTTGTTTTTAGCCCGTTAACTTTGTACACGTGTTAGCCCATTGACTTAGTACACGTTTTCAAGCCACCATTTCTATAACTTGGCGATCTAGAATCGTCATCAACGTTACAGCCAAGGAAGACCCTCATACAAAAATTATGTCAAGACTATGACGTCATGATGACGTCATCACCTAATTTTTTTTATTGATTTTTGAAAATTTACATGCATATTATGAAGTCCTATATCTACAGAACTGTAAGTCTGATTGGGTTGAAACTTGGTATGTGGCTAGACCGGGATGTGTAATAGGTAGAAAAAATTAGGTGGTCGAGACCTGAACATGATTTTTGCAGGAATTGATAAAATTATCGAGGGTCTTCATTTTTTAAATATGTGCAAATAAATCACGTGACCCTTTCTTCTGGTTGAAACCGGAAGTGCTTTGTAATTTAAAATTGGTGAAAGACGTGAACTTGCTTTCCACGATGTTTGCTCTGGCTAAGTTGTTCTTTAACATAATATTATAGTAATAGATGAAACTTTATGTGACGTCATCATGACGTCATCACGTGACATGTGACGTCATAATTCAAAGCCCTATGCGAATGGAATCACATTTATTACATTTATATGCCACCATTTATTATAAACAGAACTACACATCCTTCGTTGATGGAACACATGTCACATGTCACAAAAAGCTACCGAAACAGCCCTATGTTTGTCCACAAACATATGTCTAGTTGGGCTGTATTATCCACTTTCTACTATTAAGCCATTATTTTGCAATGGAATAAATTAAAAGTATGTCTCAAATATTGCAACTTGTATTATTTCTAAACAAACACCTCCTGGACACCATCACAAAAACAAGTAATTAAGTGAAACATTAACATTATAGTTTGAATTTGGAAAACTGGTAATATGATGTACAAAAATATGCCACGAATGCTGAACATACTCCCGACATCTTCAAAATGCCTAAGACTCTGGAGCTTAAGGGGGCTCTGCACCCTCGACACCGGTCGGATTAGACATTGTAAAAATGCCAAGAAAACACCGATAGAGAAAGAACATTTTTGCAAGTTAATTCACAGAACTTGATCTCTCTTGTCTGTGTATATACCGTGTTCATGAATCTATTTTTAGGTCGTACTACTCGTATTTGGAGTGATACGATGCAGCGAGTTTCACTGAAATTTCCTACCGTAAAAACGAGGTTTGTCGCCCACCATATATAGTGCATTACGCATGCTTATATTGCACAATACAGGGTGGATAAAAAAAAACTTGTTTAGAGACTAAGCGCCACTTTTCATGGTGAAATCTCTTTTTTCTCCACCTGCCTTGATTGGCAACCATAGCCTTTCACTCTGTGACAATTGACACAACAAAAAAACACAATTGAAAAGTGGTGCAAGTCTCTAAATAGACCCTTTCATAAAATTGGTCACTGCTCAGTCAACCGTGAATGTAATGACATGATCAGGGTGTCATTTTAAAGAGGAGATTCAACCCTAATAGAGGATATCTCCCTTTGATTCACATGTGCCTACGGTGCTTCTGTTCCAATTAGCAATAATATCTCGGTTTCGTTTTTTTGTATCCACCCTGTGTAAGAACAGTGTTGGCCAGTTTGTGCACGACCTGAATTTTCCATTATTTTAAAGAATTATCGAACATAAATATTTTCAACAATAATTAAGGTAAGTTTTTATCACTTTTTGTGGCCATATTTTTTGTATAGCTTTTATAATGTAAATTGTAATGGAAATAGTTTAGGCTGAAATGTGCATATAATTGCGCATAAAAAAATTGGCCCAAAACAGTGCCCCCCCCCCAAAAAAAATGCCAACCTACGGTACCTACCCTTGTTTTGAAAGGCATGTAATCGGAAGCAGAAGTGGTTTTTTTTTTTGGCCTAAGGGTTTCACATCACAATGCTCGCCATGTGTGCTTCATGCACAGTGCTTAATAATTCTTGACTTTGGTTGTTAATGGTCCCCCCCCCCCCCCCCGCCACATTTGAATTGGAATTGATGCCCCTGCATGATGATGTCATCTGGTATCAAATTACAAGCCATTTTAATGCAAAACATGACCGCCTTTAATCATTTGTAAATCAGGAAAAACAACAAAAAACAATCATATTCATACTTTGTCATCCAATAGACCATACCTTGATGAACATTTTTGATTTTGAAAGGTGAAGCCGGTGTAGCATGAATTGAGGTTTTATGAAATACGGACTCTTTGGTGGTATTGCGCATGCTCATGCATAGATAATTAGGAGAGGGACCGGTCACGTGAGAGGGTTTAACCAATAAAAGGGAAAAAGAGTCCGATTTTCATACAAGTCCGATTTTCATGTGACACCGGCACCGCCCAACCTTTCCTTACCGGGTAACCGGAAGGTCAAAGTTAGGTGAATATACAATGCAAACAGAAGTCTCAAATAAATAAAAACCTAATTAGTTCAGTCGGAAAAGGGGGGTATCGTGCACCCTCGGAAATCAATTTTTAATCAACGTCTCTAGGTCAGAAAAAATGCGTAGAAAACGATTTGCTATGTTAAAAAATTCAAAAAATGTCCCACGTATTGTTTTTATGCAAATTAGTGCCGCCATTACCGAAAAATCTAAATATTGCAGATAACTGAACAAACTAGGTATCTAAACCCATGTTTTCAAGGTCAGAGATCACAATAAAACTATTCTGGAAGTGACCACGTGTGTCTGTGGCATAGGAATATGCAAATTAGTGCCGCTAATACCGGAAAATCATGTTTTGGGCATATCTCGGCCAATATAGCACATAACTTCACCAGTAAGGTGTCTAAACCCATGTTTTGAGGGTCAAGTATCATTAGAAGACCATTCACGAAGTAACTATGTGTGTCTTTGGCATGAAAATATGTAAATTATAAAGTGTCGGTTTATCAGATATTTGATTTTTAGCCAATATGTCGGCCAATATTGCACATAACTACACAAGTGAGGTGTCTAAACCCATGTTTTGAGGGTCAGGTATCATTAGAAGACCATTCACGAAGTAACTATGTGTGATTTTGGCATGAAAATATGTAAATTCTAAATTGCCGGTTTATCAAAAATTTGATTTTCAGCCAATATTATATTCAATTTCAGCCAATATTACAGTTTATTTTGAATATGATGGCTTAAAATCAACTTTGATTATTACTGCTTATCAAAAACCCTTCTGTCAACACTAGCTGCAATATTGGCTGAGATATTGGCTAAAAATCAAATTTCTGATAAATCGCCACTTTAGAATTTACATATTTACCTGCCAAGGACACACATAGTTACTTCGTGAATGGTCTTCTAATGATACCTGACCCTCAAAACATGGGTTTAGACACCTTACTTGTGTAGTTATGTGCAATATTGGCCGAGATATTGGCTAAAAATCAAATATCTGATAAACCGACACTTTATAATTTACATATTTCATGCCAAAGACACACGTAGTTACTTCGTCGCTGGTCTTCTTATGATACTTAACCCTCAAAACATGGGTTTAGACACCTTACTGGTGTAGTTATGTGCTATATTGGCCAAGATATGCCCAAAACATGATTTCCGGTATTAGCGGCACTAATTTGCATATTCCTATGCCACAGACACATGTGGTCACTTCCAGAATAGTTTTATTGTGATCTCTGACCTTGAAAACATGGGTTTAGACACCTAGTTCGTTCAGTTATCTGCAATATTGGCTGAGGTATAGTTAAAAATAGATTTTTCGGTAATGGCGGCACTAATTTGCATAAAAACAATACGTGGGACATTTTTTGAATTTTTTAACATAGCAAATCGTTTTCTACACATTCTTTCTGACCTAGAGACGTTGATTAGAAATTGATTTCCGAGGGTGCACGATACCCCCCTTTTCCGACTAAACTAAATGTCTTCAAACGGTTCAAGGGCAAAGGACACACCTTTCCGATTTTACCAGTTTAACGGATACTCCGGGCACCATATAGATGTGCGCTGAAAATTCGGACTGATCTGACCGTATACTGGGTGACCCGACGAAATCAAACATGTTTGATTTTTTTTGCATCTGATTTCACCGGATCTGATTTCACAGGACTAAATATTTTTGTTAACCAATTAGATTCACAAAGGAAGTCACACGATTGTCATCGTGTGACTGATCATCATGTGACCGATTATAGAATGGAATTGCGTGCAGGTAACGTGGTCGTCTAACCACAATGGTGAAAAATCTGTACCAGTGATGGGGTGATTCGGTGAACTGAGAGGTGTGCGCTGGGCTTAAGTCTGAATATGTGACATCACCATGTCATCATACATCAAATTACAAGCAATTTCAGGTCAAAATTTGGCAAAAAAGTTTGAACTGTATCTTTGGAACTGAACAGAATACAGTGTTTATTTTTTGTGAGGTAGTAGATACCACTGCATATGCCATGCGTATGGGAGGGGGTATAAAAAGTTGGTATTTCGTGCGTACATAGTTTATGGACGGCCTCTACATGTAATTGTGACTGTGTTAGGTTTAATGCATATATGTATTGATTTGCAAGATAATAATAAATGTTAGTTTTATACAGAATTGTCACTGGCTGAAATAGTCGACACCAAGAGCTGCAACATTACAGTTAAGACCTTTAGAGTAGCTGGATTTAAAATACATACATATTCATGACTAAACAGTATTAATTTTCAACAGACCACATATTGTTTTCTTTAAGAATTAACTATTGGTGCTAAACTTACCAAGTGATTCATAGCAGATGACAAAACCATAATTACTCCCTGAAGGCGAGTTGGCTGCCAAAACGAACAGCAGTGAAAATCTTGACACTCGAAAATCCAAAGGTATGACAGCAGTCCCTGGCGAGCTGGGCGGAGTCAGATCCACTGTCGTCATTGCCGACCCAGCAGACTTGTCTCTCAACTTAACGCTGTCACCGCTGTAGATGTCGAAGCTCTTGAACATGAGAGAGATGTAGGCACGCGTGGGTAGAGTCACTGTGTACTCATCAGTGGTTGTCATGCGCGTGGTCTGGTATCGAGCTGGGAAGTCACGCGAGTACAGACAGCCAGTTGCGGTGGTCCATGCGCCCCCAGGTGCACCAACAGTAACTAGAAAAGTTCCATTGAAATGAAAATAAAAATCATCAATATGCACGTTTGTTTCCAAATCAAAATATTTTTGGATGAAAAAATCTTGTGCTTGTGACCTGGTTGGTGAATGGAACCGGGTTCAAGTCCAACCCAGGCCAACATATTGATTGGCCTTCGTTATAAAGCCGGCCTCAGGTCGACCTTGCGACGACACCGATCAGCTAGTGACTGACTTTTCAGGATCAAGCTTTGCCTGATCTACGACCGTCTGGAACATTTCAGTCGCCGATTTTTTTGCAACCTGAGTATAACTGCGATGATATTAAGACGGGCAGAAAAAGTCGGCACTCAAAAAAATCAACAGTTGCAAGAATAGAAAAATTTCAACTTCTACGACGACGATGCGATCGTGTGCGCATTAAGATCATCCTTTTCAATTGTTTAGCCACACTGGCACTCCACGCGTTCTGGGCAACATCACGCAGTATGCAGTACGCACCATGCGCGCGTCAATCACCGTATAAGGAGATTGTTACCTACTCGCGAGAGGATATTCCATACCATAGCTAGAGGGGTGTGTAAAAAAATGAAATAAAACTGTTCAAAAAAATCATTGGAAATGTATAATTTTTGACTTGTGTCGACTTTTTGACTCAAAGGTATTTGTGAATGGGAATACCGCAAGTACATTTAAGACAGTATCAGGGGAATGCGTGCTGATAATGGCTCGAGCCGAACCGGCCAAACACATATTTACTCTCTTATTAGTAAAGAAGCCACATGACAGTCTATGTTGTGGAATCGAGGTGGATCGTCGCGTCCTGGGTGACATGAGCATGGCTGCGATTATTTTGCGTCGAGATGCCGCTTGTTTCAAGAGAATCACACGATTTCTCAGTTTTGTGACCTGACCATTATTTTTCTGCTTGATGCCGACGGTTCTGTCGCGGTGCAAGCGAATCGCGGGTCGACCTCAGGCCGGCTTAAGCCTCAGAATCTTTCAAGCTCTTTAACAGCCATTATTTATGACTCATGTTTTTCCTATCTGGGATTTTCTACCACCTTTAAAACTGAATAGTTTGTCATTGTGTTTCCAAGTTATATTCAGGCTCGAATTGTAATGGTACTGGCTATATAGGCTTTGGAATACTTGGTTTCATTACAAGAAATTAATGTGTAATAATATAGAGAACTTCATCCCAAAAAATGTTTTAGTAACGATTGCAAATATTGGTCAGTTTTAAAAAAAAACCGTACATGTGTGTATGGTAGATAGAACCAGTTCATTGTTTTAGCTCACCTGGCCATATTGCAAAGTAGCCATTAGTATTAGATCCACATGCTTCCATGGGGTCCCCACTGCATGGCAATGCACAGTTGAGTTTGGAGACAACGCTACCCATGTTACCCTCATCAGAGCCACAAAAACACCGACTTTCAGCAAGTGCCGCAAATCTGCAACAAAGAAATAAATAAATAAAACAAACATTCAAGTATTCTTTTTCAGCTCTGGCAGCAGCTTCTACATGTCACTTGGTGGTCGGTTGGTCAGTCTGTCTGTCTTTCTGTCTCCGAAAATTGACCAAAAGAATGGTGTTCCATATTTGCCATCAGCGTGGCCTTTTTTTAGCGTCACATTTTTAAGCTCTGGCAGGGATCATTTTGATCGCTTTCATGCAAGATTTTCATGCAAGACTACTTGCAACATGGCCAGAGCTTATGGTGCAATCATATTTGTTTTGAGGAGTCCACCGTTACATATCTTTGCTCTAGTCATCTTAATTTCTTTGAAACATGACCATTTTGAACCCTCATCAAACCTATACCTGGGATTCTGGAATTTTTTTTTTCATGCGGAAATCAGTAGAGCGTGAAAAAAATGAGCACGAGTCAAAAACTCACTTTTTTCAACCCAGATTTTCACTGCCAAGGAGTGATTTAAATCATAAGTGTTGTGTGTAAAGTTTGTTCCTTGAACCTTACTCTTTTATGTGATGTAAAAATGAAGTCCATACGTGCAAATATAAGAAAGTTATGCTTTTTTGTTCATCTGGTCCCAATTATCAAACTGCAAGCCATTTCACCACATGACCCAATGGCACTCCATACCTCAAATTGTGCGTGGATACTTCTGAAGCACTTTTCTCATTTTTTTTAATAGTAACACTAAGAATAAACCACACAATTAGAAAGATCCGAAAACACTCTTTCAGCTGGTATATAGTTGATGTATGGGCGGCCAAACATATCAACATGCTGCCTTTCTCAAAAGTAGTGAATATATCTGTGTTGAGTGTGTTCTGTGTGTGGTTTCCTGGTCGACTAAAGTCGCCCATGGGAACCAGCAGGGGGGTACTTCTTGTCGACAAAAGTCGCCCATGGGAAGGAAAGGGTTAAGAATCTGATTATAAGTTAAAATCCACCGTGAGCATCCTGCTTATGATTGCAGTATAAAAAACTGGGAAACAACAAAAAAGCATTGTGTGAATAATAAATTGAGAAAGGAGTGCATATTGATGTTTTTCTTTGATAACTACAAATGCGAGTAACAATGCTGCTGTTGTTACTAACAACAGCAGCATTTTCAAAGTAGCCCCAGGTGCGGATCCAGAAGGGGGGGGGGGGGGGGGGGGGGGGGCGTTGAAAATTCCCCCCTGCTCCATCACCCCCCCCCCCCAAAAAAAAATTGGCATCAGTTATAGCAAAAATACAAAAGATGACGTTTTGCAGGGGTTATTATCTGTCTGTCACATAAAAATATGTGACGGGACAGTCACCATAAAATAATATTAGAGGTCTATGTCTTTTCAATAAACAGAACACAAGGCTTTTCCTGAACATTTTTTTCAAAAACAAAAATGATTAAAAAATCACCCGATTACGTCATTATGACGTCACTTAGGATTAAAAAAAAAGTTAAGGGTGGACCCTGGGTAACTACACTTTACGGTCGTTTCACCCACATAGACATAATGTAATAAACTTGATCGTTTTTGTCCGTACGACATTTATTTTTACTCCAGTGCAGAAAAGTGATGACATCATGCAACTTTGGAAATCCAAGATGGCGTCCTAAATTTTCACAGAAACAAAACACGAAAAACATAACCCAAATTTGCCCCTAAAGCATGACTTACACAATGACTTATGGTGCAATATATTAATTCTGATAAATAAATCTCATTTTAAAATATCGGGAGATTGAGCTGGCCCATAATGTTCAAAATATCTGTGAAAATCGGGTATAATTACGCTTCATGCGTGAAGTTTTCTGTCGCTATTTGTTTGGAAAGTTGTTAAAAATCCTGAAGAAAATCCCATTTTATTATTGATGCGAGGTTTTCCCCAAGTATTCCTTGGTCACTTCTTGTAAATTATGACCACTTTAAACGACTCATGAAATATCATCCGAAGGCCAGCGGTAGATTTTTTTTTTAGAACCGATAAAAAACTGCCATTTTTCACAGACCACCGTGCAGTACACACACACATCACATGGCGCAATAGCTGTAGAGCATGAATGCATGCACACACTGCCGGGGCACGCGCAGCGTTAACACGGGGTTGTCACCCTGCCCTGCCTGCTGACCTTCAGCGCAGCGAAGTCAAGCGCTGAAGCTCACAGGCTGGTGGTTTGTGGGGGAAATTCAGCAGCAGTGAACTCCAGATCAAGTATGTGGAGAATAATGATAGTTAGTATATTATTATAAGCATGAGCTTTCTACATGCAGACTCCTGTATGAATGTAGCAAACGGTCGAGTTAACTCTAAACCACCATGCGCTAGGGCTATGCGTACTCTACACATGTGCATAATGTACACTTTACAGCCAACTCAACCGTTTGCCATTCTGCACACTCAACAAACTATGTCACCTTTTGCATCTACAGCAATTAATCTACCGCTGGCCTTACCTTCCGAACGAAAACAACTGCAACACGTACAGTATCTCCAAAACAAATTTGATGTTGGACTTACATTGGGGAACCTCTCGGTTGGAGAAAAGCACCTTTTAATGTGGCAAAAATTTGTCACATACCCGCACACCGTGGTAATCAGCTCGGTCAAACACGAATTTTGCCCTAGGTCATTTTTAGTAATTCAATATTCATGAGCTGCTGTTTATATACAAAAATGAGGGGAAAATAACAAACTTTTAATAAGAAACATTTTGATCTTTGACCGATTCATCCACCAATCATATGTCAAAGATTACCTGATATAAATATTCATGATATAAAACTCGCTTGGCTCTCGACCCACAAATGAGTGTCGATGGCGTCATGATACAGCAATTTCTGACTAGTGCGATAAGAACGACAGAGGGCACAATTAATTTGCGCTTGAACAACCTGACTTCTCTTCCATACCTTGACAGGAGGGGCAAAGTGGAATCCTTCAGCATTCAATGGATGAAACGTTAAGTAACCCAGGATTACTGTCAGTGCCAATGGAAATCCTTTGATGTATTCATTGCTATTCATGTATTTTTGGCATCCTGGTCCATACCTTGGATTGAGTGATGAGCTCCTGCAGAAATCCAGACACGACTCAATGCTATTTGATGCACCAGGTAGTTTTTCATCCATATTCCAAGATTGAGGTGTGTTCGAGAAACAACCATTGAAGTCATTGGCTAGCAAGGTACCGATATTTGGAAAAATGATGCAAAAGAAATAACCATGATCATTTGAAAAATAGTAAAACAAGATTTTTCAATCAAAACATAACTTGCAAATCAAGTTACACGTAGTTAACCCTTTAGTCACTATGCAACCGCCTTGCCCATTACTCGCTATATAGTGCCTGAAACTGCCCGAGCACTCTTATGGTTTTAATGATTTTTAGTATAATACAATGACGTCCAGCTGCTACATGTAATGCATTGAAACCCACAGCAAAAAAGCAAGGAACAACATGTCATAGTGAGACAGTCATCCGCAACAACATTGACATTGATACCGTCATTTACTTGGATGAATACTTCACTGGTTTGACATAACATTTTATGAAGTTATGAACCACAAATGTTGGATTCTATAGATGCTCTGTGGAGTGATCTAAGGCGATTTATGACCACCTTAACCAATTTTTTGAGCAAAAGATCATCATTTAAACATCATTTTGGAGAGTTTTTTTAGCGTGAGAAATCCTGTGTGGGTGTGAAAGCATGAGAATAACCTTAAATGCGCGAGTCTTACACTCAATGCATGGAGTTGGCAGGCCTGCAAAGGTTAACACCCACAAAAATTTGCATTTCTTCAGTACACAAAAGAAATATAAAATTGTGGCAACTCAAGGCCTCACCATGTCTCGCCCGCTTTTACGGGGAGGTGGCTTCGCGCCCTGCCACTCAACATGTGAACACACATACATGTATACTTGTTCTGTAATTGTGGGGACTACATACACACCTGATGAGTGACAGTTATTACCGTAGGGGACAAACGCTGTTGGAACAGCAGAAAGTACCCACAACTCAGTCCTAATTTCCCTATTACAACAATAGAAAACCTCCAACAATAAGGTGCCAGCCAGGGCACCCACACCTTTTTGCACTTTATAGCATAGCAGTGTTGGAAAACAGACTGCTGAAAATAACAGATAAAAAACAACAGATTAAAGCCTGGTAGATGTAGCCTGGAACAGAAAATACATGTAGAAGGGATTTGCCTTGTCACCTTGGAATTCTTGGCGAAAAAAATGTTAGAAGAACTTACCATAGCAACTCAAGTCAACCTCACTGGTGCATGTCAAATTCTCCTGATACTGGAAATCGGTGCAATCAGTGAGCCGGTGGTGTGATGCAGTGCAACCCGGTGATCGAAGGGTGGGGGTAGCTGCTGGGCCAGCAAAAGTTCCATCATTTGCTCTGGTAATCATCGCACCCTGTGAGTATCCTGTAAAATGGGTCACAATTAAAATCCATGTAAAGGACTACTACATGTACAACATACTCAGTTCTGCGTATGGCAGTAGTTCTCTGTCAAATCTGTCTTTCTTGCTAATACATGTATGAAATCCAATGTGCCTAATGTGTGTGGTGTTTTGGTGTGTCAGGGTGTATTAAGGCAATGGGTTGCTCTGACAATAATTGTGGTGCTTAAACATGTATAGCAAAATTATTACAATTATACCCCGTTCATCAGGCCATGGGACCTAGCAGCAGCCGATATCGGTGCTCAATCGGTCTTCGACCCTCACAGATACCCATTTATACTCCTGGGTAGAGACAGGCAATAGTAGTTAAGTGTCTTACTTAAGGACACAAACACTGTGTTCCTGGCAGGATTCGAACCGACGCACCATCTTGTGAGTCAAACACCGTAACCACTGGACCATGGCGCTCTACAATATTAACAACCTTGAGGATGTGAGACAAATTTTTGTGTGCAAATCTTGTTGAACATGTCAAGTACCAATAACAACGAAAGGGACAATAATAACCCTCATACCAGGTAAGTATACATGTAGTAAGACATATAGAAAAATAACAGATTCGTTAACCAATATCATTGATGTACATTGTACATGTACATGATTTGTTACTCAATGCCAGCCATCAGGGCCAAGATATCCTGAAATGAATTGGCAGGCTTAAGACTCGGCGGAAGAATTCAAACTTCTCAAACAATGCTTGATCCTATGTATGCAGGGCAACGACAATTAGCCAGCCAGAAAAACAGGCAATAAAGATTACACCTTAATGCATCAGGCCTATACCACCTGTGGGCATATTCTGAAGACCAGTTAAGAATAAATGTAATGATAGTCATAACCAAGTATGAACAGGGAAAAAGTGCATTTAAGTCTTAAATGAAGATGGAAACATTGGCATTGAGGTAATGTATCGAACTGATTGTGGGATGGAATTTCAGATTCTTAGGCCAGCTATAAGTAAAAGCCTTAACTCCTGCTTTTTTTGCAGTGCTGAGAACATGTATGTCGCCCGGGGAGTGCAAGTGTCCTCTTGTTGGTTGTTGCAATGTCCAATGAACTCAACTGTGTGCTGGCATGCTGGGGATGATTTAGTGATAGCTGTGTACACCATAAACACCGTCTTATTATATGATGTGTTTCTTAACTGGGAGCCAATGAAGCTGCTTAATAGCAGAGATGAGTGAGCATATGTCTTGGAAGGGAAAAGATGACTCAGGCTACTCTATTTTTAATTTTCTGTAAATGGACCAGATTGGGGCCCAATTTGGCTCTGCTTACAGTTAGCAAAAATTCCCTGCTTACTACCGGTATAGCCGAAAATTAAATGTGTATTCATAAATACCTACTAGACAGTTTATGCATTCCAATTGGTCGAGAGCCTGTCACGTGGCCGGTCTTAAACGGATGATAAAGACATGGCTAGCTGGTCTTAAACGCTTTTCCAGTGTCACATGAAATTTGGACTCCTATGAAATCCCGTGCCTTTTAACGTTTCATTGGTTGAACGTTCAAATTCCTCCCGTATGCATGCGCAGTGTACTACCAGTGAATCAGTATTTCATGGTCTCAAATTCACACTTCACCAGCCCAGCTGCGTTTTGCGCGGCATCGCGCAGTACGCGTGACGCGCACGCCATGTGTCCCTATAAGGTAACGAGTTGTGGAGGGGCATTCCATATTAAAGTCAGAGGGGTGTTTCGTAAAACATGATGTAAAATTGTTGAACAAAATGGTTGGCAACGTCTAGTTTTTGACATTTTTAAAAATTATTTTGGACCGAAAAGGTATGTGTGTTCGGTCGGTATTAAACACTCTGTTTAAGACCAGTTTGAGTCTGGATGGGCGATAATTACCCTCGGCTTCGCCTCTGGTAATTATCGCCCATCCAGACTCAAACCGGTCTTAAACAGAGTGTTATAATACATGTACCTCCCAAACACACATTTATTCCCTCATTATAAATTAGGGTTGTCAGGGCAAAATTCCTTTAAACATGAGGTGCCAAAAACTTAACATGTAGCATCAAATCAAAACTCTTGGAAAATGGAACAATTAACTCCTTTTTGAAATGATCAGTAGTTAAGAAGATATCATTTATTTTGTGTAAACATAAATTATATGCCATGCAGTGAAGACATCAGCCCTATGCATTATTAGTGGCATTTGTGGCCCTGGAACGAGAATAATAAACAGCCGACTGCAATCGGCCGGGCCATGCATGTGATTGCACGTGAATGCACAAAAAAATCCAAACAAATGGTACTGAACACCAGTATAAAATTCAATCTCTGTGCAAAATGACGGATAATTCCGGCAAAAATAACACATTTTATAATAAATAAGACATGTAGAATTCATGTAATGACCACATAGTGGCTATATCACATTAAAAATTCTTTTTAAGTTTGCAATTTGCCTGGAACAGCCATCGACAATGTGTAAAGTCAAACAAGTCGATGACCCCTTCGAGTAGACAGGGAAACTCGTACACCAGCCTATTAGTATAATGCCAATAAACGTATAATGCCAATAAATATGGACCACCGGCGCGATAAGTAAGTGTTGCAGGACATTGGGGCGGAGCAAAGGTGGTCCTATTCATATACCGGTATCTGGGTCAACGTAGGCACATCACAGGTAGAGACTGTCCTGGAGGTGCATCATCCAACGAGGGAAGCCTATTGCGTTTGCTTCAAACAGCCTATCCCCTTCCCAAAGCACAGACTTGAGCATCAACAGAAAGGCTGTAGCCCTTATTATAACTTATATTTGGCATCAAGAAATGTTGATTTATTCGGTTGGGTATTGGGGCGAATTAGAATAAATGTACTTTAGCATTGATGTGGAAATGAGATATGGTAGAGTTGTTCAAAATGGGAAATTGCATGTACCTGTATACATGTTTGGTTTGAAGCTGAATCATTTCACGCTTGCGAGCAGCAATGGTAACACACAATTTTTAACACCAGTATATTTAGCAAAGTTTTGTTATTATTGCTACCCTAGCCTGAAGGAGTTATCTTGCAATTTTTAGATCAAGTATACGTTTCCATGTTTCCAAAAGTTTTTCTGGTTTTTTGTGTATCTGGCAGTCAACACAGTAATGGGATTAATATCAAGCGTTGTATGAAGAAACAACAGCTGTGACAGCTGTAAAGAAGAGTAAGAACTGATATACATTGTACATGCATGGTTTAACACTCTGTAAAACAAAAGGTTACAATGAGGAAACTAATACGAATATTGAATTTCTCACTCAAATATAAGGACATATGGAAAATGAAGACTCTTACGAATATACGATACATCTGTTTACTATGCTTACATTATATCTGTATAAGGTTTAAAATATTGAATGATTGTAAATAAACACTGGGCCGTCATGCCCGGTTGCTGCTGCACGCAGAAATATCAAAAATCAGGTTGATTTGTTTGTTTATTGTGTAGAATGGTGTAGAAATGATAAGTTCCACACTTAACTCTTTGGCTGCAAGTTCACCGTCTTCCCTTAAAGGGAATATACATCATTTGCTTTTGCTGTAATTTTCAGAAATGGATGGAATTGGGGGTTGGAAATATATAGCAAATATAGTTACACTGACTTTTTTGAGGTTTTGGGTTTGAAAATGCTATAAAAACCAAGAAAAACGATCATTTTCCTGTAGTCTGGTTCCCTGACTCCATATAAGAAGAATCAGAGCAGTTTACATACATTGGGGAATTGTAAGGTAAGGGAACCAGTGTAGCTGGCTCGTACCCGTTCATAGGTTTGTAATCGATTGCAAACAAGTGCGATGGTCAATTGGAGCCAGTATTTATAAAAAAAAGCCAGTTGTTTCCAACGCTGATCGGCCGATCAGCGTTGGAAATTGATACAAAAATACCACTTTTCTTAAAAATGACAGTATACCAGGTGCCATGATTTTACAGGATGCTTTACACTGTCATTCACTAACAGTCCAGCAAGGTATTTCAAAATGATTTGGTAGTTTTATTTTTTGATGTTTGCAAATGTTGTATTTTCCCTTTAACCATAAACCACTGGCGCAAACCCCTTACCAGTACACCAGTCACAAGTCACAAAGATTGAGTCCGAGTCACGAGTCACATTATTGGAAATACATTTTGGGGCAATAATAATAATAATAATAATAATACAGCATTTACATAGCGCAATATGAATCAAAGATTCCTCAAAGCGCTTAACAATAGAACAAGAAACAGTTAAATAAACTAGAGGTCTATGTCTGTTTGAAAACAGAACATAGGGCTTTTTCACATTTTACTCATGTTAATGTTTTGTTGGACCTTTTGCAGTCACTTTTTAGAGTGCTTTCAAGATACAGTTATAAGTTGTTCAAAATGCTTACAATAATTCCTAAAATATAATTTTATCACATGACGTCACATGCCCTGCAATGACGTCATCTTGAAAACCCTTCTCTATGCACATTTTGTCACTGTGATCTTGGTTTGAACCAAGTTTAAAGTCAATCCGATGAAAGGAAGTGTGCAATTTTGGAAGCAGAATATTATAAATATTAAAAAAAATCATAAAAAAATCAACCGATGCATACTAGTACATGTACATGTACCGTTATCTACCTACCCACCAAGTTTCATGACGATCAGATCTTTCCTTATATATGTGTTTTGAAAAATTTCATTTTTGATGACGTCATGATGACGTCACAAATTTTTCAAACTTTTGTGAAAATGCCTATTACCTAACAAACCAAATACAAAAAGAATTTTGAATTTTGCATGTTGCGTTCGTGAAATATGGCTTAGGCCTAATGGTCCAAAATTCAAAAATTCATATAAAATCGCATGATGACGTAATCATGATAAGGACAATGCATATGCTGACTTTGAACGATGTCGGACAAACGCCAGAAGTGCCACACAGAAACATTGTGTACAAAGTCTATGGGATTAACAATGGATTTCCTTTAACAAG